GAAGGAAGGAAGGAAGGAAGGAAGGAAGGAAGGAAGGAAGGAAGGAAGGAAGGAAGGAAGGAAGGAAGGAAGGAAAGCATTGGTGACATCCTCTTTTTTGGGGAAGAAAAGAGCAATACAGCTCTTTTAAATAAACCAGGATTACTCTTAAAAGCTTTAGTTCTATCTGTGATTTAAAATCTGATTTCAATTTAATACTAATATGATCATCATATTTTAATAGTCAAACATTTAGATATATTTTTTAAAAAAAACTGTTATGTCCTTCCCACTGGTGCTTTTTAAAGAGGTAACTGGACTTTCTTGATTTTTTTTTTGAAGACTTTTCACTTCTCATCCCAGAAGCTTCTTCAGCTCTGTCTGGATGGTGGGGAATGGAAGGATTCACATTCCTTGCAGACAGCTGGTCATTTGCATCCTTTTTAGAGAGTCTTTGAGACCACTTGGAGGATTGTCTGTGTCCTCAGAGTCACCTGAGTGCTGCAAATGGATGTGGATCCTTCTTGCAAATGACCAGCTGTCTGCAAGGAATATAAATCCTTCCATTCCCCACCATCCAGTCAGAGCTGAAGAAGCTTCTTGGATGAGAAGCGAAACATCTTCAAAGAAAAACTACAGTTGCCTCTGGAAAAAGCATCTTTGGGACAACCATGACCTGGATGACTGACAATCTCCATGGACATTATAACCTTCGTATTTTTATGTTTTGACATCATTGACCCTTTTAGTGCTGTTTGAGTTGCTGATTCATTTATGTGCTTTTGCATTTTTTCTGTCTCTAGGGAATTTTGGATATAATTGTCCTCAGCAAGAATTCTCCTAAAAAAGAGCTTGCTATCCACGCATTAAAAAATAACTTCGAAGCAGATGCCTACTTCGTTAAAGTCATTGGTGAGTGGCTCAGTATGAAAACATTAAAATGCTATTAAGGGGAAAATCCAATACTGCTTATAGTTTTCCACCCAGTCGAAAGAACAGCAGAAAGTTGGCTATTAAATAGTAATGAGTTGAGATAGGACATTACATTAAAATTTATACCTGAGAGGAACAGGTTAAAGAAAACCTAGTTAATTCAGATACAGGGCTGTTTATTTTAGAACATTCTTGCCATTTTCTTTACACGTTGAGTTCACGAAAAGCCTAAGTATAAAAAGTAATACAGTACGAATATCTGGGGAAGCAATTTTCATTTTTCACGATTTGTCTTTTGTAACATCAACTACCCAGTTATCTGGAATTAGATGGCCTCTAAATTTAACGAAACGAGTAACATGATAGTTTCTATGTTATCCTCCACTTTGCTCAAGAGTAAGACCAACAACAACGATGTTACTTTGATGTCTGTCTCAGATGCAAGGCATTAAAAGGGAACCAAGAAAAGCAGAAAGAAAATAGATTTGTTGGTAGCTCCTGAAATAACTGAGGGCTTATTAAATTGTGTGGAGCTGTCAGATTCCAAAAAAAAAAACCCGAGAGAGACACGCTGAGTTTTTTTCTAAACAGTTTCTTTGATTGTTCCTCATCTATAAACAGAAACCTTTCCAAACTCAAGCAACTATTTGCATCATTAAGAACGTGGTATAAATGTGCACGGAGAGAGAAACGAACCTTCAGACGGATGGCATAGGGAACAAAGCTGTTACAGGCCTGCTAGCTATACTTCGAAACCGTCTCCTAGAGGAGAGCAACAGAAACAGGCAGTGAAGAGGGTGTGTGAGGTCTCTAACAATGCTTTGAGCTCTAAGTACATAGCGCTTATAAGCAGCATCCTGAATAACAGGGAGAGAGCTTCCTATAATCTTCTCGGTTGTCCTCACCACTCTCTGTATGGACTTTCTATCTGAGGCACTGCTGCCACCAAATCAAACAGTGATGCGCTTTGTTAAAACATTCTCAATCGTGCCTCTGTAAAAAAATGGCCAGGACAGAAGAAGAAAGACGTGCTCTCTCTACCCTACAAATGATTCAAGTCATCACAGACACACACACACACACACACTCACACACACACACATACACACACCAAATTTGTTTCCACCTCTTGTTCAGGAGGGAGAAATTATCCAAGGGAAGCAAATGCGAAAGACCATTAGCTGAGGCTCAGGAGCAGGGCTGTTTCCAGACAGAGCCATGGCGAATTAACTTCAGGACAATCTACCGCTTGCTGTTCCTGACTAACACAGCTGGGAGATGTAAGCCCACAGCTAGTATCATCATAAAAGGAGTTTATTTTTCTGCCTCACCAGGCATTCTGATGGGAAGCATTGATCCTCAAGCTCAGAGAAATAAAACTGGCTTCAGATGTTTGAGAGAGAGAGGCAGCAGAAAAAGGAGGCTCTCTATAAAGTTTAAACTAAAATAATAAGATCTGTTTTAAACGAATAGCAATAGCGCTTAGCAAATAGCGCTTAGACTTATAGAAAAGCCCAGGTGTCTTGGCATGGCTTCTCAGGTGTGGTTTGCCATTGCTCCTTTCCTAGGGCTGAGAGAAAGTGACTGGCTCAATCTAAGGTATCAGTCTGCTAATTTTGGGTAGCTGACAAGATCTAAGGCTCTGTAGCTTACTGAGCCAGGAGCCAAAATATTTCTTTAGAAAGCCTCCCCTCCCCAAATAATTTTTAGCATGTTAATCCCCCTCCCAAAAAACCCCCCTTATAGCTGTCTTTGGCACCAAATCACTCAGTTGATTATGAAACACCAGAGCAACTTCATTGCGCAAAGAGGCATAAGAAATCATGTTTTTTTTCCCATCCATAATGGTGAGAAACAGACATCCATAATTACCTGTCCCTGAGCCTTTACAGCTTCATTTGCCATCTTTAAAACCCGTCTTTAAATTCAGGTGTGTTTGCCTAAGAAGCCTGTTCCCAGTGCTAACAACTGTCGGTCTGTTCTCTTGTTTACCCACAGTTCTCAGTGGCCTTTGCTCAAATGACTGTCCTCGCAAGATAACCGTAAGTAACGCTGTTCAAATCCATTCCTGGGGGGATTCTGGCACCTCCAATCCATACCATCCCTTCTGTTTGTCAAAAAATAGCCCTGTCCTGGTTGCTCACCATTGAATCACTACAAGGACAAACCAAAGCCACGCCTTCTTTTTTTTTCTTTTCAAGATTTTTATTTTTATTTTTTTACAAATCTACCCAATCCATGCGTGAACAGTGTGGTACCTGGGTATCATACATTCTAATATAAGTAAAACTGATAAAAGTGAATCGTAATCATTACGTTCAATCTACTTATCATATTTTTCGGAGTATAAGACGCTCCGAAGTATAAGATGCACCTATCGTTTGGGGAGGAAAACAAGGGGGGGAAATCTGCCTCTGCCTCCTAGCAATTTGCCTCCTTCCAACTAACAGCACAAACAATATACACTGTTTGTAGTGTTACATTTCAGACTATACTTGTACAGATGCTGTTCAAATTGATGTGGCTTTCTGGCCCGTTCTGTCTCCCTCTTTCTCTCCCTCCCTCTTTGTTGCTCTCTTTTTTCTTTCTCTCTTTCCCTCTTTTCT